TGTGTGCAGGTAGATTGGAGGTGTGCAGGCAGGTGGTACGTGTGCAGGTCGGTGGTATGTGTGCAGGCAGGTGGTAGGTGTGCAGGCAGGTGGTGTGTGTGCAGGTAGATTGGAGGTGTGCAGGCAGGTGGTGTGTATGCAGGCAGGTGGTATGTGTGTAGGCAGGTGGTATGTATGCAGGCAGGTGGTATGTGTGCAGGTAGATTGGAGGTGTGCAGGCAGGTGGTGTGTGTGCAGGCAGGTGGTAGGTGTGCAGGCAGGTGGTAGGTGTGCAGGCAGGTGGTACGTGTGCAGGCAGGGGGTAGGTGTGCAGGCAGGTGGTACGTGTGCAGGCAGGGGGTAGGTGTGCAGGCAGGTGGTACGTGTGCAGGCAGGGGGTAGGTGTGCAGGCAGGTGGTACGTGTGCAGGCAGGGGGTAGGTGTGCAGGCAGGTGGTACGTGTGCAGGCAGGGGGTAGGTGTGCAGGCAGGTGGTACGTGTGCAGGCAGGGGGTAGGTGTGCAGGCAGGTGGTACGTGTGCAGGCAGGGGGTAGGTGTGCAGGCAGGTGGTACGTGTGCAGGCAGGGGGTAGGTGTGCAGGCAGGTGGTACGTGTGCAGGCAGGGGGTAGGTGTGCAGGCAGGTGGTACGTGTGCAGGCAGGGGGTAGGTGTGCAGGCAGGTGGTACGTGTGCAGGCAGGGGGTAGGTGTGCAGGCAGGTGGTACGTGTGCAGGCAGGGGGTAGGTGTGCAGGCAGGTGGTACGTGTGCAGGCAGGGGGTAGGTGTGCAGGCAGGTGGTACGTGTGCAGGCAGGTGGTACGTGTGTGTGATGATGACTGCTGGTCCCTCGAGTGGTTCTTACACTCAGCTTCCTCTCATCTTGTCTGATTTTCTGACAAACCACTGGGCCCCGCCCCGCCCCTCCCGCTGGTTAGAATTTCCATGAGTGAAACCAGGTGCTTCCAGAGCCTGCGGTCGGTCAGGCAGGTGCCTGACAGCTCACCTCCGGGACCTGCTGTTTTCCAGCCCCTTCGACGTGGAGGACGTGACCCCGTCCGCCGGCACCGGGAGCAAGGCGGCCGCCCTGCAGCGGAGGATGTCCATTTACAGCCAGGGCACCCCCGAGACGCCCACCTTCAAAGACCACGCCTTCTTCGTAAGTTCAGTGTGATTCTGGGGTGGAGACGTGAGCCCGAGGCCGTGGCCTCGTGTCCCAAACACTGACACCCTGCAATAGGGCCTGACCCTGCGTTAGGGCCTCTCGTCCTCTCGTCCTTCCTAGCGACGCGGTTCTCAAGCTCACCCCCTACTCACCCAGCGACACCCCAGCCGCCTCTGCTGCGCGCACAGGCGGCCCCGCTGCCTTCCTGCCCGTCCCCCGCGCTCCCTGCCGCTTTGGTAATAACACGGATTCCTCCCGAACCTTCTCTAACAGCAGCATTTTTTTTTGTTGTTCTGTTAATTCTCGCCCGAGGATACTTTTCCATTGATTTTTAGGGAGAGTGGGAGAGAGAGGGAGAGACAGAGAGACACTTTGATTGGTTGCCTCCTGCAAGCGCCCCGACCAAGGCTGGGGCCGGGGAGGAGCCTGCAACCGAGGTACATCCCCTTGATGGGACTCGAACCCTGGACCCTTCGGTCCCCAGGCCGACGCTCTGTCCACTGAGCCACACCGGCTGGGGCGCGATCAGCATTTTGCCGCCGCCTGTGTTCTAACCTGAAACGCTTGCCGAGACGCTCACCCTAACCTGTCCCTGCTCTCCCTGTCCCCGTCTCTCGCTCCGGAAGCGGTGGCTGCAGCCCTCCCCGGACAAGCCCCGGCGGCTGTCCGCCCTGAGCGCCTTGCAGGACACGCTCCTGGCCAAGCTGCACCGCAGCCGCTCTGTGTGCGACCTGCCCTCCCTCAGGCTGAGGCCCAAGGCCGTGCTCGAGTCCTATGTGAGTGCGGCCCAGCGGCCGCGGGGCGGGGGCTGCGTGCTCTGCTTGTCTCCTGCTTGTCCTCTGTCCGCTCCCTGGGCGGGGACTCGTCTTGCATGCAGTTGGTGGGAGAGCCCTGTGTCTTTCTCGTCTAACCACCCTGCTTCTGTGCTGTGGTTCGTCTCCGCTGCTGTGAGGACACCCACGGTAACGGTAACGGGCTTCCCCTTTTTAAAGTGACACAGTGACACTGAGGCCCGGGGGGACTTGATGCCAAGTACCCGAGTCCTTGTGCTCGGTGCTCACCAGGAAGGGCTGGGGAGGAACTCGGGCTTAAACCCACGTGACTAGCGCTGTTTCCTTTAAAAAGGTTCTTCGTTCACTGGTCTCAGTTCACTGTAGTGTTTGTACCAACTTAATAAAAGCAGAACGGAGCCCGGCCCGCGGGGCTCAGGGGGTGAGCGTCGACCTATGAACCAGGGGGTCACGGTTCGATTCCGGGTCGGGGCACAGGCCCGGGTTGCAGGCTCGATCCCCAGTGGGGGGCGAGCAGGAGGCAGCCGGTCAATAATTCTCTCATCATTGGTGTTTCTGTCTCCCTCTCCCTTCCTCTCTGAAATCAATAAAGATATATTTAAAAAATAAAATAAAAGCCGAACAAAGTATCACATCTTTTCAATGAAATAGCATGTCTTTCAAGCTAGATGCCAAAAGAGGGTTTTTGTTTGTTTGTTTTGTTTTTGTTACAAAGGCGTTCAGTTTATGCTCATCGGAGCCGGCTGTTCTCACATTCACGTCCCCGGATCCCCCGTGCGCTCCTCTCCGTACGGCAGTGAATGTGCAGTCTCACGCACAGGCCGGGGCACACAAGTGTTTTAAGTTGGTGCTGTTACCCCTACGTGTGGCTGCGAAGCTGTGAGGTCCTGGGATCAGGGAACAAACTCCTGGCCGGGCCCCAGCCTTTCCCCGGGAAAATGTGAACGTCCACCCGGAAAGGGAGGTTTTTAAAGGCCTGTTTGCTGTAGCTGGACACACACACACACACAAAACCAACAAACAAAATGCTACTATGATGAGAGATCTGGGTTTTTACTTATTTTATTTTTTAAAAAGTAGTTTTATTGATTTCAGAGAGGAAGGGAGAGGGAGAGGGAGAGAAACATCACTGATGAGAGAGAATCCTGGATCGGCTGCCTCCTGCACGCCCCACGCTGGGGCCGGATCGAGCCCGCAACCCGGGCATGTGCCCCGACCTGGAATCTAACCATGAACTCCTGGTTCACAGGTCGACGCTCAACTGCTGAGCCACACCAGCTGGGCTGGCTTTTTATTTTAATTGTGTTACAGCTTATCTGGAAATCAACCACACCAGACACCTCACCTGTATTTAAAAATAACACGAGATGCCTCTCTCCCGCAGTCGAACCTCCCGGACGACACCTTCGAGAGCGACAAGGCTGCCCAAGAGAAGAGGCCGCTGTCCCTCAGCTTCGACGACCTGCCCAACGGGGACTGTGCCCTCCCCGCCAGCCCGGCTGGCTCCCTCGCCAACTCGTGCCCGGCCCACCCCG